ATGGGTACGGACACTGGCTATCAGTCTCTGCTCAGTGATTCTGCATTGTTGTGTGTCTCAAAGTCTGGCTTGGAGGATGCTTACCCAAAGATTGGAGGCTGAATGCCCTTGACCACTGAAGTGTTCCCTGACTGGAGGCACCCACTCTGTGTCATTGCATTGTTGACTCAGCTGTACTGAAGTATTGAGGTTATTTCATTAAGTTGCCTCTTTTCCTAACAAACATTGTGTATTTCGGTCATATGTTCTCACATCGGCTTATTGCCTTGAGGGGAAACACTTTTACTGTGAAAACAGACGTTAGTGAAGGGCAATGCTTTGAGTGAAGTTATTGCTGGGAAAATCTCTCACTAGAAATGTCAGGACTGATGAGCAGTCGGACAATTGTAGCAGCTCTGACTACAGTGACTGACCATGTATTTCTGTAAGTGTCATTGAATGGAGAGTTTAATTTAATCTGGGCCATTCATTATAGCCTTGTAATTACTTATTTTTTGGTACATTAACAATTTCTGACACAGCATGTAAAAATAATGATAGGATAATTATATTAAGGAGCTTCAATTCTCCCAATATTAATTAAGATAATCCTAGTATAATGGGATTAGAAGAGGCAGGTTTTTTTGGAATGTATCCAGAAGAGCTCTTTACATCAGATGGTTCTACAAGGGAGGGTGCAGTGCTAGGCTTAATTCTTGGGAATTAAATAATACAGATGTTCAATGTGACAGTGGGGGAGCATTTTAGTGATAGCAACCACAACACCGTCTGTTTTAAGTTTGTGATGGAAAAGGGGAAAGATATTCTGCAAACACGCTGGGAGATTGCATTTGAATTGGGGAAGGCCGATTTAAAATAACTGACGATCTCACAAACTAGAATGGGAAGAGCTACTTGAGGGCAAATCTACAGCAGAATAGTGGGAGACATTCATAAAGTAGGAGGTGGTGGTACAGGTCCAAAATGTTCCTTTTTGGTCAAAACGTAAGAACAACAAGCCCAGGGAACCACAGATGTCTAAGAATATTCAGGACTGGATAAAAAGAAAAAAAACTTTTAACAAAGGGAGCAAAACAACATAGGCCGAAGAGGAGTACAGAAAGTGTTAGAGGAACCAAAGAAATTAATTAGGAGAGTAAAGAGGATATATGAGAAAACACTGATGGGCAAGAGAAAGGAGAAGCCCAAGACAATTATACAAGTATTTCAAGGGAAAGAGAATTACCATGGGAATATTAGGGTCTATTATGGACCAAGGAGGCAACCTGTGCATGAAGCCCAGAGGACACTGGTAGATTGTTAAATGAATACTTCAATCTGTCTTTATCCAGGAGAAGGAGGATGAAAATACAGGATTTGTGAAGATGGGCTGTGAAGTTATTTAGCAGAGTGATATAAGAAGGGAGGAGGTATTAGAGGGTTTTCATAGATTTAGAATCCCCAGGTCTGGATAAGTTGTATCACAGACCATTGGGGAAGATCAGGGTTGAAATTGCAGGGGGCTCTGACCCAAATATACAAATCATCTCTGTCCACAGGAGAGATGCTGGAGGACTGGAGGGAAGGTAGTGCGATTCCACTTTACAAGTAGGGTCAGAGAGATATACTGGGGAACTAGAGACCAGTGACTTGAACATCAATTGTGGGGAAATTATTGGAGAAGATAGAAAAAGAGAAAATTAATCCCCATTTAGATAAACAAGGTTTGATCAGGGATTGTTAGTATGGCTTTTTCAGACAGAAGTCATACCTGACGAATCTCGTGAAATATTAGAGGAGGTGACCAAGTGTGTCGATGAGGGTATGGTGGTTGATGTAGTTCATATGGATTTCAGCAACGCCTTTGACAAGATCCCACATGGGAACCTGAGAAAGAAGGAAAAGCTCATGGGATTCATGGTAAATTGGCAAGTTAGATTCAACATTGCCTTAGTGACAGGAGACAGGGTGTCGTAAAGGACTGTTTGTGTGACTGGAATCTGGCCTGCAGTGGTGTACCACAGGATCATTGTTGGGTTCCATATTGTTTGTGATATTCATAGATTATGAAAGTGAGAATGTTGGAGGACATTAAGTAACTTGACAGATGACACGAGCGTTGACCTGGTGATTGACAGTGAGGAGGAAGGTGCTAGATTAAAGGAAGATATAAACTGAAAGGCAGAACAGTGGCAGATGTGATGTAAACCTGACCAAGGTTTCTGAAACCTGAAGCAATGCAGTTTTGAATATGGGACAATGCAAGGGAGTACTGAATGAAAGAAGGAAGCTTAGAGTGACAATGGGACCTTGGGGTGCTTGCCCAAAGATCCCTGAAAGTGGCAGGACAAATTAATGGGTTAGCTAAGAAGGCACACGGGAAACTTGCATTTATCAGTCGAGGCATTGATTATAAGAGCATGGTGATGGTGTTGGAGCTGTACAGAACTTTTTTTAGGTGACAGCTGGGGTACTATGAGCAGTTCTGGTCACCACACTATAAGAAGGATATGATTGCACTGGCAGGAATGCAGAGGAGCTTCTCCATGATGTTGCCTGGTTTGGAGCATTGTAGCAACAAAGACTAACTAGATGTGCTCAGGTAGTTTTCCTTTGGAGCAGAGAAAGTTGAGGGGTGTCCTGATAGAGATGGATAAGATCATGAGAGGCATGAACAGGGTGAATATATTGCAGCTGTTGACTTTAGTCTAAGATTCAATAACAAGGGGGCATACCTTCAACATGAATAGCTTAGAAGGGATTTGAGGAAAAATATTTCTCACCTAGAGGCTGGTGACAATCTGGAATGCATTACCTAGGAGGTGATAACCTCACCACTTTTAAAAAGTTCATGGGTGAATGTCATAACATTCAAATCTATGAGTCTAGTGTGGAAATAGAGCTAATGCAGGTAATAATGTAATTTGATGGTACAGACTTGATGGGCTGGAAGACCTTGTCTGCACTATATGTCTCTATGAGTCTACGATTCTACCATTTACCAGGTTTCCCATATGTCCCCCATTCCAGTCATTCTGATGTGAGAATGCACTCATTCATTCAGATGTAAATACTAAATATTCAATTATCCCAATCTTCTTGCGATTTGATGAGTTTCAACATTTCGTCTCTCTTGCACCCCATCCAATCACTGACATTCACCTTGCTTTCTCTATGTCCCAATATTTGCCTGTATAACAGTTGGAAAGGTTACATCTTCTAGCATTTCTTATCACTGAGGTATTGAAAATTGACAGTGAGTTCTCATCATGCTACATATTCTGACTGAAGGAAAAAGTGGAAGGGATCCATGGCAGTCTGCTTCTTAATTGCAAGAAGGTATTCTTATCCTCTCATGTCGTATCAAACCATGGAGCAGGACTCGGAATGGAAGGGGAAGAATGGACTGCCTGAGACATCAACCCAGGGAGGATCTCCAACTCTGTGACTTCCTCAGATTTTTGGAGGGTGAGAACTAAAGGGGAAGCATCAGGTGTAAAACATCAAAGGATGTTGTTTGAAACCTGGTTTCCCAATATCTGGAAAGTGTGATATCTTGGAGTGTATTCGATCCAGTGCATGAGTGTGTGGAATGCCAAACTGAATTTCAGTGTCACCATTATCAGTGTCAGCACTGTTTCATGAAGGGCTAGTCATGCTTGACAAACTTGCTGGAGTTCATTGAGGATGTCACCAGCAAGGTGGGCAATGAGGATCCAGTAGATGTGTTATATCCAGACTTCCAAAAGGCATTTGACAAGGTACTGCATAAAAGACTGATCAAGAAGGTTAGATCCCAGGGGGTTAAGTATTGACTTGAATAGAGGTTTGACTGATTGACAGAAAGCAGAGGGTTGGGATAAATGGGTCCTCCTCTGGATGGCAAACTGTGACTAGTAGGGTACCACAGGGTTCGGTTCTCAGATCTCAATTGATATAAATGATCTGCAAGCAGGGACAGTGAGTACCATCTGTTTCTGTATTGCCTATGGATTCTCTGATATACTAGTCAATCCCCTTGACATCGTACACAGGAAATCATGACTGAGAGAAAATTTCAGAACAAACCAATTTAGAATGATCTACAGTCTGTTCCCTGGGACGTACACTGAGACAAACATTGACTACGCCTGGGGAACCATCAACTCGGTGAAAGAGGGTCTTTGCTCTGCCCAAAACCTGTTGGTCTTCCAGAACAAGGAGGTGGCCTCGATTGAGTGTTGCAGACTGGCACATTCCAAGGTCCAGGGCAACGTGCGGTGAGACGCACTAAAGTTGGAGCAGCTGCCACCAAGGCGCAGTGGGGAAAGACCACTGTCTGACGTTAAATGGGAGTCCCGCTTCCTCAAATACATGTAAATATAATCTTGAATAAGTAAGAAATACGAGATAACAAGGTGTAAAGCTGGATGAACACAGCAGGCCAAGCAGCATCAGAGGAGTACGAAGGCTGACTTTTCAGGCCTATGCCTTTGGTTTGTTTTTTTCAATAGAGTCAAACTTCAATGTTTGTTTGTTTCTTGATATGCTACTCTACAGAACCAAACTGCTTTAGTGACTTTTTATGAATAAGGTATATCTTTGAAATAAAGAAGAGAATAATACTCAAAAGTCAAGAACTCAAGAGGTAATTATGACAAAAATTCAGGTGGAATTGTAAGAAGTTATTTCTATCCCTTTCGTTAGTTTTACTAAACAATAAGACCATATTTATAAAGGTGTTTTTTAACGCAAAGTTGTGTGTTGTCAAACTGGTCATGTTTGATTTCAACAGAAAGACTGCAACTGAAGCGGGTGAGGAATGTTTGAACCGAAATCCAGCCTCAGGGCAGGCAGGAGCTTTCACACAGAAGGTGGAGCTCTAACTCTCACAAAACGAGGAGTCGAACGAATCTCAAACCGCAGCTTGCTCAAACAAATCCAGCAACTTCTTTTCAATTGGTTCGAATGAAATAACAAGGAAATAACTTCCACAAGGAAGTAAAGCGGCGAAAAGAAAATCTTTTTAGGGATGACAGTAAAGTTCTAAGTTTCAATTCCGTGTCTAGTTTGGTTTCTCTGCTAATGTCTCTCCCTAATGATTCTGGAGCCACGCGTGTGGATAATTTGTGAGCGCGGACTCTCCGGTTTACAAGGTCAGAAATGACACGGCACCAGGTTGTAGTCCAACAGGTTTATTGAAGACTCAAGCTTTTGGGGTGTTACTCTTTCTTCAGGTGTTAGTCCCAACAATCATTGCCAGTATACAGCAGAGCCTCTGTATGCTGTCTGTGCGTCAAGCTGAAACAGGCCAAGGGCTATTTTGGGGCAGCAGACAGGATCACAAATTCTTGTATTTCAACAATTCTGGTGTAACTATGTTTTGTCTCCATGCCAGAGTTTTCAATTTGTTTAAATAGATGAGAGTATGGTTCTTTGTAACTCAGATCCAATTATTGTTTAATAAACAGCCTGCTACACTGTAAATATTAAATTGGCAGATATGATGCAGTGGGTAACAGATCGAAATTGGCAGATATGACATAGTGGGCATCACGGAGACCTGGCTGCAAGGGGATCAGAATTGGGAGCTGAATATCCAAGGATATACATCCTATCGAAAAGATAGGCAGGTGGGTAGAGGGGGTGGGGTTGCCTTAACAGTAAGAAATGAAATTAAATCAATAGTACGAAACAAAGTAGGGTCAGATGGTATAGAATCTGTGTGGGTAGAGTTGAGGAACCACAATATAAAAAAAAATAGTTGGAGTTATGTACAGGCCTCCAAACAGTAGTCAGGCACTGCGGCGCAAGATACACCAGGAGATAGAAAAGGTGTGTAAGAAAGGCAAAGTTACAGTGATCATGGGGGATTTCAATATGAAGGTGGACTGGGAAAATCAGGTTGGTAGTCGATTCCAAAAAAAAGAATTTGTGGGATGTCTACGAGATGGCTTTTTGCAGCAGCTTGTGGTGGAGCCCACAAGGGAACAGGCAATACTGGATTTAGTGTTGTGCAATGAGGCAGATTTGATAAGAGAGCTTCAGGTGAAGGAACCCTTAGGAGGCAGTGATCAAAATATGATTGAATTTACTGTACAATTTGAGAGGGAGAAGATAAAATCAGAGGTAATGGTATTATAACTGAATAAAAGCAACTACAGAGGCATGGGAGAGTAGCTGGGCAGAATTGACTGGGAGAAGAGCCTAGCAGGAAAGACAGTGGAACAGCAATGGCAGGATTTTCTAGGAGTAAAATTCAGGAGACACAGCAAAAATTTATCCCTAGGTAGAAGAAGCATGGTACAAGGACAATGAGGCAACCATGGCTGATTAGGGAGTCAGGGACAGCATAAAAGCAAAAGAGACGGCATATAATGTGGTGTAGGGCAGTGGGAAACCAGAGGACTGGGAAGCTTACAAAGACCAACAGAAGGCAACAAAGAAAGAAATGAGGAGGGAGGAAATTTATGGGCGGCACGGTGGCTCAGTAGTTAGCACTGCTGCCTCACAGCACCAGAGACCCAGGTTCAATCCCACCCTCGAGCAACTATCTGTGTGGAGTTTGCACATTCTCCCTGTGTCAGCGTGGGTTTCTTCCAGGTGTTCCGGTTTCCTCCCACAGTCCAAAGATGTGCAGGCTAGGTGGATTGGCTGTGCTAAGTTGCCCATAGTGTATAGGGATGTGTAGATTAGGTGGGTTATAGCGGGATGGGTCTGGCTGGGATGCTTTGTGGGTCGGTGTGGACTTGTTGGGCCGAAGGGCCTGTTCCCACACTGTAGGGATTCTATGTAAGGATTCTATTCTGTATAAGAAAGTAAATATGAGGTTAAGCAGCCAATAATATAAAGGAGGATTGTAAGAGTTTCTGTAGATATATAAAGGGCAAAAGAGATTCAAAAGTGGACATTGGACCACTGGAAAATGATGCTGGAGAGATAGTAGTGGGGAACAAGAAAATGGCTGAGGAAATGAATAATTACTTTGCGTCAGTCTTCACAGCGGAAGAAACGAGTAATATCCCAAAACTTCAAGACAGTCAGGGGGCAGAGCTGAGTATGGTGGTCATCACCAAGGAGAAGGTGTTAGAAAAACTGAATGGCCTGAAGGTGGATAAATCATCAGGACCTGATTGACCACACCCCAGAGTTCTTAAGAAGATAGCTGAAGAGATAGTGGAGGTGTTAGTGGTGATCTTTCAGGATTCGCTAGAGTCAGGGAGGGTCTCAGAAGACAGGAAAATCACCCCTGTTTAAAAAGGGAGCAAGGCAAAAGACTGAAAATTACAGGCCTATTAGCCTAACATAAAGTGGGTAAGATTTTAGAGTCCGTTATGAAAGATGAGATTTCTGAATACTTGGAAGTGCATGGTAAAATAGGGCAAAGTCAGCATGGCTTCATCAAGGGGAGGTCATGCCTGTCAAATCTGTTAGAATTCTTTGAGGAAGTAATGAGCAGGTTAGACCAATGAGCCAATGGATGTTATCTACTTGGACTTCCAGAAGGTCTTTGACAAGGTGCTGCACAGAAGGCAGATAAAGGCCTAGAGGCAAGGTGCTAGAAGATTGGCTCTCTAGCAGAAAGCAGAGAGTGTAATTAAAAGGGTCCTTCTTAGGATGGCAGCCAGTGACAAGTGGTGTTCTGCAAGGGTCAATGTTGGGACCACAACTTTTCAATTTATACATTAATGATCTAGATGAAGGGACTGAGGGAATTCTGGCTAAGTTTGCTGACGATACAAAGATAGGTAGAGGGACACGTAGTACTGAGGAGGCGGGGAGGCTGCAGAAGAATTTGGACAGTTCAGGAGAGTGGGCAAAAAAGTGACAGATGGAATACAATGTGGGAAAGTGTGAGGTCATGCACTTTGGCAGGAAGAATAAAGCATGGACTATTTTTTAAACGGGGAGAAAATTCAGAAGTCTGAAGTGCAAAGAAACTTGGGAGTTCTAGTCCACGATTCTCTCAAGGTAAACTTTCAAGGTAAAATTGAATCAGTAGTTAGGGAGGCAAATGCAACTTGAATATAAAAGCAGGGATGTACTCCTGAGGCTCTATATGGCTCTGGTTAGTCCACATTTGGAGTATTGTGCGCAGTTTTGGGCCCCATATCTCAGGAAGGATGTACTGCCCCTGATGCGAGTTCAGAGAATGTTCACAAGAATGGTCCCAGGAATGAAAAGCTTAACATATGAGGAACGTTTGAGGACTCTGGGTCTATACTCGATGGAGTTTAGAAGGATGAGGGTGTTCTAATTGAAATTTACAGAATACTGAATGTCCTGGACAGAGTGGATGTTGGGAAGATTTCCATTGGTAGGAGAGGTATGACCCAAGGGCACAGCCTTAGAGTAAAGGGAAGATTTTTTAGATTGTAGATAAGGAGAACTTCTTCAGCCAGAGAGTGGTGAATCTATGAAATTCATTGCCAAAGAAGGCTGTGGAGGTCACGTCATTGAATACGTTTAACACTGAGATAGATAGGTTCTTGACTGTCAAGGGGATCAAGGGTGACGGGGAGAAAGCGGGAGAATAGGGTTGAGAAACTTATCAGCCATGATTGAATGGCAGAGCAGACTCGATGGGCTGAATGGCCTAATTTCTGCTCTTATGTCTTATGGTCTTATGGCCTTCTAGCCTTCTAAATTGAAGGTAGAACCAGCACTGCACTACAAAAAGACATAGGCTGGTGTAATTGTGGATGTACAGCATTGGCTGGTCTTCCCTGTTTTCGCAGCAGCTGGAAGTCAGCCTGAAAACCCTAATCCAGTCAGAAAATCAATTCATCTTCAGACTCAATCTCAGACCCCAATTCATTTTACCAATCATTCCTGATCTCAGTCATCGCCAATTGGAAAGGGCAGTGAAAATGTATGGATAACATAAGGTAGAAACGTGTGACTTTGTTGTAGTACATTCCTGGAAAGCTCAGTTTTGTGTCCCTCTCTCCAGCCAGTAATGATCTTCTGAAATGCTTTTAATTGCAAGTGTCCAAAACACATAGGAATCGCCTTGATCCCAAAGTCTATTCTGCAGAAAGTCAAAATTCAGGTGATTGAGGGCTTTCCATCTCATATTTCCACAAACACTAAACTGCGCAGATTATTTTTAGTAAAGTTGTAAATGCTGCATGAATTGGAACTATCTGATTCAACTCTCTCTTCAGTTGTAGAGTCATAGATTCATAGAGATTTACAGCACGGAAACACACCTTCAGTCCAACTCGCCCATGCCAACCAGATATCTTAAATTAATCTAGCCCCATCTTCCAACATTTGGCCCATATCCCTCTAAACCCCATACTCTGGGCTAAAGACCTTGAGTATTTACCTTGTCCATGTCCCTCACGACTTTATAAACTTCTATAGAGTCACCCCTGAGCCTTGGATGCTACAGGGAAAATAGCCCCAGCCTCTCCCTGTAGCTCAAATCCTACAGCCCTGGCAACATCCTTGTAAATCTTTTGTAACTGGAATCTCTAGAGTGTGGAAGCAGGCCATTCAGCCCATTGACTCCACACCAACTCTACTAAGGGCATCTCACCCAGTCCCACCACGGCCCCAATAAACCTACATTTCCCATGGTTAGTCCACCTAGTCTGCGCATCTTTGAACTGTGGGAGGAAACCAGAGCACCCGGAGGAAACCCACGCAGATACAGGGAGAATGTGCAAGCTCCACACAGACAGTTGCCTAAGTGTGGAATCAAACCGGGGCTCCTGGCGCTGTTAGGCAGCAGTGCTAACCACTGAGCCACTGTGCTGCCCTCTAGTTTTGGGCTCCTCCGCCTTAAGAAAATGGCCTTGAATATTCACCCTATCCATGCCTCTCAGGATTTTATAAACCTCTATAAGGTCACCCCTCAGCCTATGACAGTCCAGGAAAAAAGCCCAAGCCTATCCAGGCTGTCTCTATCACTCAAATCCTCCTGTCCCAGCAACATCCTTGTAATCCTTTCCTGCACCCTCTCTAGTTTAACAACATAGAAAGGCGACTAGAATTGTACACAGTATTCCAAAAGTGGTCTCACCAATGTCCTGTACGGCCACAACATGATATTCCAACTCCTATACTCAATGTTCTGATTAATGAAGGCAAATGTGCTAAATGCTTTCTTCTCCACCCTGTCCACTTGCGACTTCAAGGAACTATACCCCTGCACCCCAGGTCTCTTTATTTGGCAACACTCACTAGGGCCGTGGCATTATTTTCATAAGTCCTGCCTTGGTTTGCCTTACCAAAATACAACACCTCACATTTATCTGAATTAAACTCCATGTGCCACTCTTCAGCCTTTTGTCAGATCTGATTGAGGTCCCATTGTTCTTCTTTGTCCACTACACCAGTAATTTTGGTGTCATCTGCAAACTTATTAACCATGTCTGCTATATACACATCCAAATCATTTATATGAATGATGAAAAGTAGTGGACTCAGCATTGATCCTTGTGGCACACCGCTGGCTATAAGACTCCAATCCAAAAAGCAACCTCTATCACTACCCTCTGTCTTCTACTTTCAAGCCAATTTTGTATCCAAATGGTTAGCTCTCCCTGGATCCTATGTGATCTAACCTTACTAACCAGTCTACCATGCAGAACCTTATTGAATGCCTTTTTACCACCTCGTCAAAAAGCTCAATCAAGTTAGTGAGACATGATTTCCTATGCACAAAGCTATGGTGATTATCCCTAATCAGTCCTTGCCTTTACAAACGCAAGTAAATCTCATTCCTTTGAAAAATCCTCCAACAACTTACCCACCACTGATATAAGGCTCACTGATCTAGATAGAGTGTCATGGTTTTTCCTTACAGCCTTTTTTAAATAATGGCACCACGTTAGCCAACTTCCAGTCTTCCGGCACCTCACCCATGGCTGTTAATAATGCAAATATCTCAATAAGGGGCCCAGCAATCTCTTCTCTAACTTGCCACAAAGTTCTGGGAAACATCTGATCAGGTCGCAGGGATTTATCTACCTTTATGCTTTTTAAGGTGCCCAGTACCTCCTCTTTGTATTTTGGACTCTTTTCAAGACACCACTATTTATGTCCTCAAGTTACCTAGCTTCCATGTCTTTCTCCACAGTAAATGCTGATGTGAAATATTCATTTAGTATCTCACCCATCTGCTGTGGTTCCACACATAGATGACCATGTTGATCTTTAAGGCGCCCTATTCTCTCCCTACTTACTATTTTCCCCTAAGTGTTCTTATAGAATCTCTTTAGATTCTCCTTAACTCTGTTTGCCAAAGCTATCTCATACCCCCCTTTTTGTCCTTCTTAAGTATACTCGTACTGCCCTTATACTCCTCCAGGGATTCACTCAACCTCAGCTACCTGACGTATGTCTCTTTCTATTTCTTGACCAGAGCGTCAATTTCTTGAGTCATCCACCATTCCCTACACTTGCCAACCTGCCCTTCACATTCTTGTAGTCTCATTTTTAAATGCTTCCCACTTCCCAACTGTCCCTTTACCTGCGAATAGCCTCTCTCAATCAACTTTTGAAAGTTCCTTTCTAATACCGTCAAAGTTGGCCTTACTCCAATTTAGAACTTTAACTTTTAGATCAGGTCTATCCTTTTCCATAACTATTTTAAAACTAATAGAATTATGATCACTTACCCCAAAGTGCTCCTCCGCTGACACCTCAGTCACTTGCCCTGCCTTATTTCCCAACAGAAGGTAAAACATTGCACCTTCTCTAGTAGGTCCATCCACATATTGAATAAGAAAGTTTTTTTTGTACACCCTTAACAAATTCCTTTCCATCCAAGCCCTTAACACTATGACAGTCCTAATCTGTGTTTGGAAATTTAAAATCGCCTTACATTACAGATGTAATCGCCTTATTCTTACAGATATCTGAGATCTCCTTACATATTTGCTTCTCAATTTCCCACTGACTATTGTGGGGCCTATATTCCGATTCCAACGAAGTGATCATCCCTTTCTTATTTTTCAGTTCTACCAGTATGACTTCACTGGATAATCTCCCAGGAATATGCTCTCTAAGTACAGCTGTGATGTTATCTCCAACCAAAAACGCTACTCCTTGTTCCTTCTTGCTTCCCTTTCTATCATTTCTATCGCACCTATATCCCAGAATATTACGCTGCCAGTCCTGTCAACCCCTGAGCCACATTTCTGGAAAAGCTATGATATCCCAGTCCCATGTTCTCAACATAGAGTCATAGAGATGTACAACATGGAAACAGACCCTTCAGCCCAACTCGTCCATGCCAACCAGATATCCTACATTAATCTAGTCCCATTTGCCAGCATTTAGCCATATCCCGCTAAACCCTTTCTATTGATTACCCATCCAAACACCTTTCAAATGTTGTAATTGTACCAGCCACCACCATCTCCTTTGGCGGCTCATTCCATTCATGTAACACACTCTACATGAAAAAGTTGCTCCTTGGGTCCCTTTCAAATCTTTCTCCTCTCACCTGAAATCTATACCTTCTTGTTTTGGACTCCAATAGTGTAACATGACCTTCCAACTCCTACACTCAATGCACTGACCAATAAAGGCAAGCATTCCAAATGCCTTCTTCACTACGTTGTCTACCCATAACTCTGCTTTCAAGAAACTATGAAGCTGCATGCCAGGGTCTCTTTGTTCGATAACACTCCCCAGGACCTTACAATTACTTGTATAAGTTCTCCCCTGATTTGTCCTACCAAAGTACAGCACCTCACATTTATCTAAATTAAACTCCATCTGCCACCCATCGCCCATTCGCCCATCTGATCAAGGTAACCTTCGCTGCCCACTACATCACCAGTTTTGGTGTCATCTTCTAACTCTCTAACCATACCTCCTATTTGCACATCCAAATATAAATGACAAAAAGCGGTGGACCTGCTGGTCACAGGCCTCTGATCCCAAAAGCAACGCTCCACTACCACCCTCTGTCACCTACCTTCGAGCCAATTTTGTATCCAAATGGCTAGATCTCCTTGTATTTCATGTGATCTAACCTTGCTAATCAGTCTATCGTGCAGAACCTTGTCAAATGCCTTACTGAAGTCCATAGAAACGTCCACTGCTCTGCCTTCATCAATCTTCTTCATTACTTCTTCAAAATACTCAATCAAGTTAGTCAGACATGATTTCCCATGCACAAGCCATGTTGATGATCCATAATCAGTCCTTGACTTTCCAAATACATGTAAATCCTGTCCCTCAAAATCCCCTCCAACAACTTACCCATCACTGATGCCAGGCTCACCGGTCTATAGTTCCCTTGCTTTTCGTTACCACCTTTCTTAAATAATGGCACTATGTTAGCCAACCTCCAGTCTTCCAGTACTTCCCCACCGTGGCTATCGATGATACAAACATCTCAGCAAGGGGCCTAACAATCCCTTTCCTATCTTCCACTAAGTTCTAGGGTACACCTGATGAGGTCCCAGGGATTTATCCACTTTTATGCATGTCCTAAGTGCATCTGGCTTACCTGTCAGGCCTCTTGCTTTGAAGTAATTGCAGCTTAATTAATCAGTATTACCTTGTTCTCTGCCAAGCTGTTGTCTGCCTTGACTATTTGTGACTTGACTACTGTACTAGCCTCAGTCTAATCTCTTTTCTCACTCTTGCTTTAGTTCCCACCACTACCACCACCAAGAAACTCCCCCCTGACCCCTACAGGTTTAAAGTCTCCCAAGTGGCTCTAGCAAATCTCCCTGCAAGGTGATTAGTCGCCTTCCAATTCAGGTGGAACGCATCTCTCCTATACAGGTCATTTCCACCTCTGAAGAGATTCTAATGATCCAAAAATGTGCAAAATCCTTCCAACAAAGAGAGTAGGCTGGGCCTACTCTACTGTCTCTTCATGATAATGAATGTCTTCATTAATCACCGTCTCAACTTCTTTCTCAAGGAAAAACTTCCCTCCACGATTTCCAATCTATCTACATAAATTAAATTCTACATAGCTGGAACCATTCTCATCAATTGTTTCTGTATCCATTCTAAAACCCTCTCATCCTTTATGAATTGTGGTCGCCAGAATTAGTTGTCACCCCAGCTGAGGTCAAACAATGTTTTCTAAAGGCTTATTGCAACAATCTTATTTTTTTCACCTTATGCCCATATTGTCAAGCTTCCTAATTCATCATCTATGTGCTTTAGAGTGAAATTTGTGTTTTGTTTCAGTTGGAACTAAACATTAACTGGAGAAATAAATGCAAATCCTAATTTAAAAGTGCTAACACTTTTAATGAGAGAACAACCTCAAACAAGACAGATTTAATTTTAAGACAAGCAATGGTTTATGTTTATCGAGAGCTGGGGTCATTCTGACTGAAATGATCAGTGGAGAAGGGTAAGAATCATAAAACAGGAGGAGGAGGAGCTACAAATCATGGATAAGCTAAATCTGGGCCTTTTTGGCAGAGAGTGCAATCTGCAATTCTTGCTGTAAGGGTAGAACAGACAGGTTGATTCGAGTTTGATTTATTGTTGTCACATGTAGCATGATAGAGTGAAAAGAGTTGGGTTGTGTGCTGTACAATGAGCTTGTACCATATAAGGTGCATCAGGGTAACAGAACAGAGTGCAGAATATAGTGATACAGCTGCAGAGAGAGATCAGAATTAACATTTGAGAGGTCTGTTCAAAAGTCTGATAACAGCATTATTTCACTTTGGAAGTTAAAGCTAAATTAATCAAAGCGTTCCATAAAATGTTGTAAATTACATACTTTTCTTCAGATTAAAAGAGGAATTTTCAATGTCGGAGAATTAAAATGAAGGTATCCTAGAGCATGCCGCTTCATCAAATGAGTGTAACAAAGGGAAATAATCTGGTTTCAATTTTTACGTGTGGTCAGTTAAGGAAATAGTTAGGCACAAAATTGATATTGTGTGGTGCAGCTCAGAGACAAAGGGTCGCCAAAGTAAAATATAATTAGTTGGTCAACCATCTTAAGTAGATAAAATGCTAATTTCATGTGTTACCATCATCTGCTTCATATCTTCACAGAAACCCACTGACCAGAAAAGAACATGGCAGACGAGAAACAAACAATTAACAGAATCGAAACAGACACAGGTGGGTGTAAGTACAAAAAAAGAGGTTCTGAGAAATTGATCAGAATTAACTAGCATCCTCTGGATGACCTAGGAGATGATATGAAGGTAAATATTTCTTGTAACTAAGTTAAGTGTTAAACATGGGAAAATGCCTGTTCTGCATTCAGTACAGATACTGTAGGACATCTCAATTCTATAACTTTTACCTATTTTCAACAATTTTGAGTCTGAAATCATTGAAGCTCAATGTAGTGCAATGCAGATTAATGGCCATTGCTGTTTGGACCATCCACAAAAATAGGAAGAAGTTGAAGACACTGATTTGTTTGAGATAATGGCCTCTTTCAGATCAGTTTGAGCAGAAAGCTATGGGCGCTAGCTTGTGGGAGAGCAAACCAGGTCTTTGCACTAGTGGCAAAGAGGCTGCAGGGTATATAACAGAAGGGTGTAAATGTGGTTGTGCATGGTGATTCATAAATTTTGTGGACAGACGTGGATTTCTGAAATTAGTATCATATTCTGGAGGAGAAAATAAATGAGTCAATTGATATAGTATGTGTTAGAGCAAACGACATGGTCAAGATAGGTATTGAAGCTCTGTGGTAAGATTTTCAGACGGTAGGGTGAAAAGTGGATCGTAGGACCTTGAATGTAGCAAATGACAATATTCTCAGTACAAGGTGCTGGTGAAGGTACAAATTGGAAGGATGTAAGAACAATGGCATATGTTAAGGGAAAGTGTATTCAGGAGAGAGTATTCAGCTTCTTCGAGCCTTGGGACAAATTCTGGGACAGGAGATATCTGCTCAAAGCTCAGGACTGCTTTGTAATATCACTGGAACAAAAGTGTTTACTTTTAGATAATTCAGTATACTTGTGGAAGATTTGACTTATATTGTCAGGGGTTTGACTACCAGAGTACGGAAGCTGAAATGAAGGCTGCTATGTATAAAATAGTGGCACTTCACAGTTTACTACAGAAGGAAATGCTCTTAGAAGTCAAAATCATAGCATGCCTACAGTGTGGAAACAGGCCCTTTGGCCCAACAAGTCCACACTGATCCTCAGAGCAACCCACCCACTAGGCATCCCTGAACATGACAGGCAATTTAGCCACTCCACCTAACCTGCACATCTTTGGACTGTGGAAGGAAAACCACGCAGACGCGGGGAGAATGTGCAAACTCCACACAGACAGTCGCCTGAGGGTGGAATTGAACCTGGGTTGCTGACACTGTGAGGCAGCAGTGCTAACCACTGAGCCACCATGAGGATTAGATGGAACATAAAATGTTTTAAACCTGAAGGTAACAAGAATGGTGAAGGTAGTTGCTGACCTAAACCCACAAATTTAAATTTGGGATCATGATGTAGATAAAATTTGACATGTCTAATTCAGAAACTGGTAAGGACCTGATCTTTCAGTTTCAAAGATGCAATGTGTCCACTGAAAGAAAAATAGAGAGCTTGAGCGGCATTACTGAAAAGGATTCTGAAGAAAGGTCACTGAACACGAAAGGTTTATCTTGTTTGCTTCCACTGATGCTGCCATACCTGCTGAGTTTCTCCAGCATTTTCTGTTTTTGTTTGTTACTGGAAAGGGAATGAGGTGTTATTTGGGTCAGAGATGATATCTTCGTGGGATGATTACAGATTTCATTTCCTCCGTGTTAAGAAATAATAAGTCATGAGCATACTACTGGTGACATTTTATAGGGAGACTAAATAATGAAAGAGATTGCAAGGATTGACTTGCTGAAAATTCACAGAAATAAACAGGAATCGAGTTCATGATGGGTAGTAAGCTGCCACCCTGAGTCCTGGTAGTCCATGTGGTGTCAGAATACCCATGGTGCTGATAAGAAAGGATTTAAAAAGTTGCACATGGACAGTGAAGTAGTGTTTCAGTTCCAAGTCAGGAATGTGTGTGCCTTGGAGGGAGCATGCATTTGTTTTTTTTCGCATTATAAACTGCTCTTTCCCTTCGAGGTGATAGAGCTCGTGTGTTTGGAGTAGTCCATTGCTATACATTCAATGTCCATAATCAATATATTCAACATGCACATGTGTTGTAAACCACACTATGATTTGATGAATTAGAAATAGTTTTACAATACAAATTACTTACAGTAATCATACTAAAATCAGCATCGGTATTGTGTAGTGATTGGAGCAACATAGAACATAGAACATAGAGCATTACAGCGCAGTACAGGCCCTTCGGCCCTCAATGTTGCGCCAACCTGTGAAACCAATCTGAAGCCCATCTAACCTAAACTATTCCATTATCATCCATATGTTTATCCACTGACCATTTAAATGCCCTTAAAGTTGGCGAGTCTACTATTTTTGCAGGCAGGGCATTCCACGCCCTTACTACTCTCTGAGTAAAGACATCTGTCCTATATCTATCACCCCTCAATTTAAAGCTATGTCCCCTCGTGCTAGCCATCACCATCCGAGGAAAAAGGCTCCCACTGTCCACCCTATCTAATCCTCTGATCATCTTGTATGTCTCTATCAAGTCACCTCTTAACCTTCTTCTCTCTAACGAAAACAGCCTCAAGACCCTCAGCCTTTCCTCATAAGACCTTCCCTCCATACCAGGCAACATCCTGGTAAATCTCCTCTGCACCCTTTCCAATGCTTCCACATCCTTCCTATAATGCGGTGACCAGAACTGTACGCAATACTCCAAGTGCGGCCGCACCAGAGTTTTGTACAGCTGCAACATGTCCTCATGGCTCCGAAACTCAATCCCTCTGCCAATAAAACCTAACATACTGTACGCCTTCTTAACAACGCTATCAACCTGGGTGGCAACTTTCAGTGATCTATGCACATGGACACCGAGATCTTTCTGCTCATCCACACTACCAAGAATCTTACCATTAGCCCAGTACTCTGTATTCCTGTTACTCCTTCCAAAGTGAATCACCTCACACTTTTCCGCGTTAAACTCCATTTGCCACCTCTCAGCCCAGTTCTGCAGCTTATCTATGTTCCTCTATAACCTGCAACATCCTTCCGCACTATCCACAACTCCACCAACTTTGGTGTCATCCGCAAATTTACTAACCCATCCTTCTACGCCCTCATCCAGCTCATTTATAAAAATGACAAACAGCAGTGGCCCCAAAACAGATCCTTGAGGTACACCACTAGTAACTGAACTCCAGGATGAACATTTCCCATCAACCACCACCCTCTGTCTTCTTACAGCTAGCCAATTTCTGATCCAAACCGCTAAATCACCCTCAATCCCATGCCTCCGTATTTTCTGCAATAGCCTACCATGGGGAACCTTATCAAACGCTTTACTGAAATCCATATACACCACATCAACCGCTTTACCCTCATCCACCTGTTTGGTCACCTTCTCAAAGAACTCAATAAGGTTTGTGAGGCACGACCTACCCTTCACAAAACCGTGTTGACTATCCCTAATCAAATTATTCCTTTCTAGATGATCATAAATCCTATCTCTTATAATCCGTTCCAACACTTTACCCACAACCGAAGTAAGGCTCACTGGTCTATAATTACCAGGGTTGTCTCTACTCCCCTTCTTGAACAAGGGGACAACATTTGCTAGTCTCCAGTCTTCTGGCACTATTCCTGAAGAGCAAGGTCAAAGAGGATCTCATTGAGTATGAGATTCTTGATTGGGGCTATTAACCTGGGCCAATCAGGGAGCCCTGGCTGACAGGTATAAACAGGAGATTCAGAGAGTCTCCTCACTCTAGGGACCGGCTGTGAGCTGGCCATGTACAGTGCACATGTATATAAAGGGTGACTTGATGACGGGATATTGGCCTCGTACAATTATTTCAATGACTAGAGAATCAGTTCTTCTCATTGTAAGTGTCTTGTAATACACAGCTATAAATATTGGACATTCATTTTCAAAGACTGGAATTTCTTGAAGTGGTTTTAGCCATTAAAGATTTGTCTGACAGAATTTATCACCTTCATTTGCATTTCCTTCTAACATGTTTGCATTCTCCTTTGAGGATAGATGAAGCAAATTCATATTAGTTTGGACACAGATGGAGTATTTTGCCCTGTTCTGGACTAGGTGATTCAGGAATATTATGAAGTCTTTGGAGAGGGTGCAGAAAATGGTTACAAGAACAGCTCCACAGTGAGAAAATTCTGTTGTAGAAAGGGAGTGAAGAAAGTAGGACTGGTTTCTTTGGAGAAGGGGAAGTTGACAGGAGATCTAATGCACTTATTCAAAACCATGAGAGTCCAGGCTGACTAGACAGGGTGGAACTGTTAATGCTCCTTTTTGCTGTTTTTGCTTGTTACTAATTACATGCTCAAGCTTCGAAAGAATTGGTAAATCTATGAGAACAAAAGCAAAGCGATAAAATTGAGCAAATCATCCATTTGCGCATCGTGGTGGATGTTCCCCCAGCTGAGGAATCAAGTGACGTTCAGATGCATTTTCAATATTCTGCATAGACTTCTCTTGTCTGTGCTGTCTGGCAATTTTTCAAAATGTTTAACTGATGGTGTAACATTTTTAGATGTTTCTGACTGGTATATTTAATTAATTTGTTTATGAATATGTGAACTTTAAGCCCCCTCGAGGACACAGAAATGATGCTCCCCGTACTTGCCTTGCCATCTCTGTGCCAAGATTGACTGTGGCATGCATTGTGTGTCCCACAATATTGTGAAGGACTTCTGTGATTAATGTAAGTGAATCATTAAAAAAAGGTCCTATCACCATCAGATGTCACAGGAAATTCCAAGTCTCGTTAGTGACCAGGATGGTTCAATGATCTTTCTTTAATGTTGTCACTAATGATATCATAATTTACAATGATCAACATCTAGAAAAGTTTACTGTACTTTTCTGAAATGAACCTTACCCATTGATGGGAGAAGAATGATTTTAATTTTGCATGATAGCGTAAAGATGCCATAATCATTTGTGCCCATGATACTACTTCCAAATTTTTTGTTCCATGAAAATTAAATGAATATGATGGGGGGGGTTAAACAAAAATTCTGCCAGTAAAATAAACACTCTAACATCTATGATACAATAAAAATATTCATACATTTTATACTCACAGATCCTGTTTCCCAGTGTCTTGAAAACTTCAGTGATGGGAGCCTTTATAAGGTGACAACATTCTATCGGAATAGACTGGAACAGGCAATTGAAGAAGCGGTGAAAGGTGTCAGCTTGGTGTTAACGTATGAGGGATATTTCAATGGCCAGGAACATCAGGTAAGTGAGGAAACCCACTGTTAATTTGAATTGCCTCAACAGCAAAAGAACTTTCACGAGATCATATATGATGAATTATTTTGGAGACATAGATCCAGTCAATGTGAGAACATGTCTATCAATGTGTTGAATTTACAGATCGTAAATGATACCTCCGTTGGAATGATGAATACATAGAAATAATTGGAACACAGACTCCAGTCATTTGGACCATTGACTGCTCCCTGACGTAATCATACATTCAAGCTCTTGGTTCATAACCCTGAACGTTGTGATACCTCATGTACATATCTATTTCTGCTTTAATACGATGCAAGCTTTTTGCCTGCACCAGCTTTTCAGGCACTATCCTCCATGTATATATTGCAAGATTGATGAAATCAACACACCTTAGACCCTCTCTAATTCTATAAACCGCTCGTTAACCACTGCTGAACAAAATATGTCTGCTCTCTCCACTTGCTTCTCTCATCTTACATACACTCAAAACATAGGTGGCACAGTGGCTCAGTGGTTAGCACTGCTGCCTCACAGTGCCAGGGGCCCAGTTCAATTCCACCCTCTGGAGAATGTCTGTGTGGAGTTTGTACGTTCTCTCTGTGTCTGCATGGGTTTCCTCTGGGTGCTCTGGTTTCCTCCCACAGTCCAAAGATGTGCAGGCTAGGTGGATTGGCCATGCTAAATTGCCCATGGTGTTCAGGGATGTGTAGATTAGGTTATAGGGGGATGGGTCTGGGTGGGATGCTCTGAGGGTTGGTGTGGACTTGTTGGGCCGAAGGGCCTGTTTCCACACTGTAGGGATTTTATGATATCTCTACTCACCCTCATCTGTACAACTGACATTATTCAAAAAATATCCATGTCCAATTTATTGTTATTATTAAAGTTCCAATCCTCAACAAAATGCTGAAAAATATCCTCCCAAACTCAATGAATTTCTTCTTATAATACAGCCAACAAAATCATCCACAGAGGTTCCAGCCACAGGATAAATATGGCTAAATATAAAATCTCATCCTCTGATCCTTTATGCCTCGGCTCCTGAAAAAATGATTCATTTTCCTCCTTAGCCACATCATTTGCCTGCCCCATTCTCTTCACCAATCTGTACATTAATGTATCTTTGTACTTGTACTTCTTATGTCATTTCTATGATTTATTCTTGATTTAAAAGTCATTCTGAGATACATTTGATCATTCATCTCCAGCTTAAATTTTATCTGCGAAATTCCACTGATATAGAATATTCTTTCCAAATAGCAAACACCTGGACATTGTCCATGTCAACTGGAGGCTTCTTAATCCTGGCCCCTAAGTCATGGAATTGCATGGCATGCTGTCCTCAATCCATAAGCCTAATAAAAACTACCTTCCTTTTGCAAAACATTCGTAAACCATGTGAACCTTTCATATTACTGTGGAGACAATTTTGCTTCCAATGTATGTAAATGAGGAAAGAAAAAAACTGATAAATTGTTTCTGAAAGACTCACTGGCAGTTTTGACAACATCAGTGCAGAGAGATTATGATTCTGCAGGTATGTGGCCTTCAGGAGCAGTGGGTGAACTTGGCAATGGAAAAGATATTAAGAAAATACCAAATGGAGAATGTTAAAAACAAAAGACCCAAGCTAGATGTTAGTGAAAGATTGGATGCTCCAAAAGGAAATAATAGAGAAATTAAGTGAGCACTTTGCGAACTGTCAAACGTTTTTGTTAAGTTCAACAATTTCAGATCACATTCTCTAGTATACTTTTCTTTATTGGTTGCGTTATAGTCTTTCATGTCTTTTTTATTTACTCTCATATCACCTCCGGACTATCCCTTAACTAATTCTTTGATGTAGCCCTGTTAATCAATGTGTCATTTAATCTTCTTTACCTTTCGCCATTTAATACAGCTTATATTTGTTAGTTTTTTTCTCTCAGCTCTCTCTTTCATTTGATCAAAATCTATGATGTTTCCCAACACTTCTTTCAAAATGTCGCAGAGCTGAAATTTCAATGGACTTTTTTCTTTCTCCACATTACACACAGATTTGGCCAATCCTGATTCGTATATCTAACATTTTATTTTTATTTTCAGCTTTATAACATTGACAGCATTAAATAGTTTCTGTTGCATCAGTCCAGCCACCCTCATTTGGATTGCGTGATATTTTGATATTCTGAACGGTCTGCATGTGGTGACTTGTAAATGAATTTGCCAATACTCATGTAGATTCTTGTAATATGTCACCCTCATCAGCCATCATGGATATCTCCTGAAGAAATTTACAAAAGGTTGCCAGGCACAATCTCCACTGAAGAAGTGCATGATCATTCACCTTGATCAATAATAAACATCTTAGAAAATCTCTTCAACTGTTAGATGTCAGTTTCTGACTCAAAATAACACCTTTATAGATAGATAGAATCCCTACAGTGTGGAACCAGGCCATTTCGCCCATCGAGTACACATCGACCTTCCTACCCGGACCTATCCTATCCCTGTGACCCTGCATTTCCCATGGCTAATCCAAGTAGTCTGCACATCCCTGGACACTATGGACAATTTTAGCATGACCAATCCGCCTAACCTGCACATCTTTGGATTGTGGGAGGAAACCGGAGCACCCGGAGGAAACCCACGCAGATAGGGAGACAATGTGCAAACTCCACACAGACAGTTGCCTAAGGGTGGAGTGGAACCCGGGTCCCCGGTGCTGTGAGATTATAGTGCTAAACACTGTGCCGCCCCTTGTTGTCTATTTCATAGCTTTGGTTTCTAAAGCTTCTGTACTCACCCAAAGTTTTAACTTTCTAGATACAGCTTGCTTCCTTTCCTTCTAGATTTTTGCTCAGGCCACAAACTCACGTAATTTAAAGAACTCCTATTGCACACAACAGTATCCCAACCAAGATATTAATCCTGTGCCATGAATGTGCAGCAATTATTTCACTTTCTAAAAGGAGTTTATTGGCGGTAAAACATTTTGGAATGTCTTGAAATCTGCAAGATAAATGAAAACTTTTTTTTGTACATTTGAGTGAGAATTCTAACATCCCTTAAAAAAAAGTCACCAATAGGTGGGACATTTTCAAAATTGTGTCATCTTATACATTATATTATTAATACTGGAAAAGTAGATAACTTCCCATTATTCCACCCTGGCTGTCAAGTGAGAGTTCACTCTAGTTTTATGCAGCCCACGAGAGAATGCAAGAACACATATGGGAAATTGTAAGCAACACCAGAGGTTGTACTGTTAGAGGGAAAAAACATGCTAAAAAATGTACTGCACAGTTGGAAGTCGAAATAAGCATACTATTTTGGTGTTTACAGTTGCATACCCATATTCATAAAATTTCAAGATGTGTGTTAGATTTCCCATACGCAGGGAATAAATGGTGATATTTTAGTAGTTGAGAACTGTGCTGAAAAGAGAACATAAATGGATAACGAACAACCATGTTGAGTACAGCAAAGTTGGGAGCAGGGAGATGTTCAGATAATTCTTAAGTAATTCCCAAGTAGAATATTCATTGTGTTTGATTGCTTTTCTACATTATTCAAGAGATGTGATTGTTTTGCCATACACAATAAATGAATATCCTTACTCAATATCCTTACTCCTAAAAGCCATCAGTAATGAAGTACAGAATTATTAGAGAACTGACTTTTTTTAAAAACATAAAACATAGGTACTAAGTTATCCTAATGTTTTTAGAGCAGTAAGACTGCGCTATTTTCTGGATCTGTTGATTGCTAAGGTGCAAAGATGGCCTTTAGTAGAGTATTGTACTCTTTCTGTCAGATGTGGGGGATTAGGGAGAATTTCAATGTTCCTGATGATTATGTCTGCAAGAAGTGTGTTTGGTTGCGATTCCTATCGAATCACATGGATCGGTTTGAGCGGCAGTAAGAGGCAATGAGGAATTTACAGGAGCTAGGGGATGTGATGGATGGCAGTTGCAGGAAGGGAGAAAAATTGTAGATATAGTCAGGTAGATGGGTTACCTCTGGGAAAGGTAGGAGGAGTAGGCAGGTGGTATAGGATTCTCCTGTGGCTATCACTATCTCAAACAAGCATGCTGTTATGGAAAATGTAGGGAGTAATGGATTGTCAGGTTTCTGGTACCGAAGCTGGCTCTAATATAATGAGGAGTATGTCAGGTTCCAAGCCATCGATTGTGATAGGGGACTATCTGGTCAGAGGTGCAGACAGAATGAGACATTAGAATGGTATGTTGTCTCCCTGGTGCCAGGATCAAGGATATCTCAGAGAGGGTGCAGAATATTCTCAAAGGGAGAGGGACCAGCGGGAGGTTGTTTACATATTGTAACTAATGATATAGGAAGAGAAAAGAACAAGGTTCTGATGAGAGAATTTAGGAAATTAGGCAGGAGATTAAAAAGTAGGTCTTCGAGGCCAGTTATATTTGGATTACTCCCAGTGCCATCTGAAATGATGCTGTCACTTTAAAAAGGTTATTTTGTCCTTGGTTTTTTTGAAGACAGATCGTAAAGGCAGAGGTGCAGAGGAGTCTATGGAATTTCACAGTTTAACAATGGAAGGGGAGCGGCCAGTTCTCCCAGTTCAGGTTTTTCTAGTTTTTTTTAGCTGTAGCTGCTACCAGATGTGTGAGTCCAGAAGAGTTGCAAGCTTCAGTAAAGGATTCCTCTGACTTTCGCTGAAATGTCTCTCTGGATGTTGTTCCCTCCTGTCTGTAAGAATCTGTGTTCAAATTTACCTTTTTGCCAAGGGGTGTGTTTGTGGGATGTTACTGTTTTGGAACAGTTAATTAGTTAAGTCACTGTATCGAGTATTTGATTATGTTTTCCAATACTGCAGTTAAGTTACTCTAAATTCCACTTCCTTTTGTTCGTGTTTCAACTTCAATGTTTAAATAAATCCTGTTTTGCTTAAAGCTGAGTGGTTTGACCAGTTGCATCACACCTGGAGGATTGAGCGGATGAATGTGTAGCTGAGGAGCTGGTGCAGGGGAGAAGGATTCACA